CATTTCAGATGCCCATTTTTGAATTGGGTCTTTGAATTTGGGGGGGGGTCTGAATTTTTTCAGTTCTTTATAGATTCTAGATAGTAGTCCTGTGTCTGAGGTACTGCTGCTAGAATTTTTTTCCCCACATTGTAGGTTGCCCTTTAGCTCTGTTGGTGGTTTCTTTTGCAGTGAAGAAGCTTAGAAAGCATATTTTAAAAATAGAAAATGAGAAGACACAAAAGTAAAATGCAACTCCAGTCCCTTATCTCACTCAAGGCAAATCCAGAGGGTGATGATGTTGAAGAAACAAACAAACAAAAAAACACCCAGTTCAACTTTCTGAAATGGTAGTGGTGTAAGTAACAAAGCAGATAAATGAGGCACTAGAAAAAAACAAATCAGAAATAATTTCTCAGATAACTAAAGATATGAGGACTATAATGAATGACATATTTAGTGAATCTAGAGTAGATACTGATAAAAAAAAAGGATCTTAGGAAAATGATGGAAACCATAAATGCCTAATATTGGAAAGGAATGGATTACATCAAACAGATTCAAACAGATATCCAGGAAATTAAAAATTCTACTGAAAGTATGAATAAAACAATATGAGTACAGAATATCAGATCTGGAATACAGGTTTACAGTTAGCAATCATGAAATGAAAGACTTCTTAAAACCAGAAAAGAACCATGCAAAATCAATCTAAACAGCTGCTGGATGATTCAAAGAATAACATATGATTGATTGGAATCAATGAAAAATCAGGAGATAGTTCAAAAACATAAGGCAAAAACCTCTTCACAGAGATAGCGGTAGAAAATTTGCCAAGCATGGACAAGGAATTTGACATACCAATAAGTAAGGTATACCAAATTCCAATTAGCCATGATCATAAAAAAATACATCAATGCATATAATAGTCAAGACTCCAGAAAGTCAATCCAACAGTATATTAAAAACTATTAGAAAATGTAAACAAATCACCTATAAAGCCAATCAGAATTTCTTCAGTCTTCTCAGCCCGAACCCTTAAATCAAAGAGAGCATGGGGTGAAATATTTCAAACCCTAAAGGAAAACAACCTCCAGATTGATGTACCCTGCAAAACTATGCTTCAAAATTAATGAAGAAATAAGATACTTCCATGGCAAAGAACACCCAAAGGAACTCATGACCACCAGATCAGCACTCCATAAATTTTGTAAGGATATTCTAGAAAGAGATAACAAAGACAGTAACTCCATGAACTCTAATAGAATGAATCCACGAGGCATGGAAAGCAGTTAAACAGAGGGGAAAGAAAGGTAACCAACCACAGGAAAATAATATGAGAAAGATAAGTCAATACATATCACTTATAACCACCAATGTAAATCATCTCAATTCATCAATCAAAAAAAACAAATTGGAAGAAGGGATCAAAAAACAAGATCCAACTACATGCTGTACCAAGAAACACATTTAACCCAAAAGAAATTCATAGACTGGAAATCAAAGGATGGAAAACACTACCCCATGAAACAGGAACCCAGAAAATAACAGGAATAGCTATTCTGTTTGCAGACAAAGTGGATTTTAAGTCAAGACTGTTCAAGAGAGACAAAGAAGGTCACTACATGCATGTTAAGGGGACAATACAAGAAGAGAAAGCAATCATAAATATATATGCACAAAATACCAACACACCCAACTATATAAAATGAACATTAATGCATAAGAAAAATAAAATAAGGATTAATATAGTTGTAACGGGGCACCTCAATACCCCACTGTCACAAATAGACAGATCAATGATCAACTAGACAAAAAAAATCAATAGAGAAATATTAGAGCTGAATCAAACCTTTTAAGAAAAGGACTAAGTACATATCTACAGAGTGTTCCACCCTACAACAACAGAATACACATTTCTCTCTGCTGAACAAAGGACTTTCTCCAAAATAGACCACATAGTAGCTCATAGAACATGCCTAAGTAAATCCAAAGGAATCAAAATTGTCCCGTACATATTATCACACCATAGTACAATGAAATTGAAAATCAATGGCAAAAGAAAGCACAAAACCTTTGTAAACACATGGAAATTAAATAACAGCCACCTGGACAACCAGCAAGTCACAGATGAAATTAAAGAAAAATTAGACAGTTCCTACAAAATAATGACAACAGTCCTATGAGGGATATATATATAGTAGTAAATTTCCACATCAGAAAAACAGAACAAACTTAAATGAATAACCTTATATTGGACCTCAAGCTTCTGGAAAAAAGGAGAGCTAGAAGCATTTTCAAGGTCTTTATCTCAATCTGATAAAAGCCATCTGTGGTTCCACTCTTACTGAGCAGGATTACCATGGCGACAACACTGTCATCAGTATGGTCCCAGCTATGCTGATCCAATTAAGCTGGACATTTCTCAAGCTGACACAATCACTTAACTTTCACAGTTTCTTTTAAATGTTGGCATTATTCTTGCTGATGATTTGTTGTTCAATATTTAAATGTATTCTTTAGGATGATTTTTTTCAAAAAAGTCAGAATAAGTCTTCAGATATTGTTCACAAAGTTATTGTTATCACCAGGCATGACTCATTTTGAACCAAGAAAAGTTTTAAAATGTCCTTAGTTCTTTGAAAACATTTCCAAGTCATTACCTTCCAGACTTATGAAAAAACTTATTCTTTGAAGGTCAGGCATTTGAGATAAGTATTATTGTGAAGCAGAGTAAAAAATTCCAGAAAATACCAAAAAACTGTGCAACATGAAGCTATGTAGAATGATTCTGTTTTAAAGGTTTTAAAGAATATGGAGTACTTAAAACTTCAATCAGAATGTTATGACCTCTTTCTTTTCTATATTTTTTAATCTCTTCATTCCATTCTTATTGTCCTTTATATATCACGACCTTCACTAATCATGTTAAGATATTATGGGCTCAAGTCCTTTTGATTAGTTAACATGTTTAGGAATACTTGATATCATATTTATTATAAGTAATATTGTATGGTATTTAATATCATAAAGATACATAATTTTAGAAAAAAGTTTCTTAACATGAAGTAAAAAATCATGTATTTGTATTTCATATTTTCTTTTTTTATGAATATTAAAACTTTAATCTCCATATGCATTCTTCTTGGATATACAATAACCAGGTTCTCTGCAGTCTCCATTCAGTAACTGATCATCTTTTATATATTCACATTGGTTATCAGCCATGACAGGACTGCCTAATTGAACCCTAGAAAAGAAAAGAATTTCAATTGTAAATTAAGATATACTTCACATATCAACTCCATTAAGTGAAAATTATGATATTTTTATAAAAAGTTAGAGCAATACATTTCTTTGGCTTATTTATTAATGTATAAATGAAAATGGATATGTATTCTTTTCAAGAGTTCTGAAAGGAAAGAGATAAGAACTCCAGAACACCATTGCTCCACTTAAACAATGGCAAAACTGGCAGAAATGTGCAGATTCAACTTTTCAAGATTCTAAAATTGAATTAAAGACATAATTTAGGGGAGACTTAATGAAATAAAGAAGTTGATACCTTTTCATAAAAGGGCATTTGTTTCACTTAAAAGCTAATGGAAGTGGCATGGTAAACATTTCTTTAGTCCTGGTTATCCTCTATGTATGCTTAGGCAAAATATGCAACATTTCTGTTTTATTAATAGTACACTAGGAGGTGTGAGTGCCTGCTGTATACTAACAAAATCAGTGATATCATTGCTACAAGGGAAATTCCCATAAATTTGTTGTCAGGTCTTCTGCTAAAAATTATTGACCAATCTCTTCAAACTTTTGTTATTCAGTGTATATCCATTATTGCTGCATCAAAAATTGAAATTTATAAAAATTTAAGAGTACTTATAAATATATATGACAATAATAAATGTGTATATTATTACAATAAGAATAATTATATTTTCCAAAATAAAATAATTAATGAGAACATTGATATTGCTTTACATATTTGTAAGTCTTTTAATTGTGTAGCATCAAAAAAGAAAACTGAATTCTTGAATGTATTTCAGTAATAAGTCTGTTGTAATTGAATGCATTATGAAGGGTCAGGAATTTTCCACTATACACTCATGAAAGAATGAGATTTAAAAGACCACGTAACATATCAGTAGCATTATGAACATAGGTTTAGGCTCACAGTCCTCAGTAAAAACTTGTTTGGAAATACAGAATCATTATGGTTTGGGAAATAGAAACTCTACACACCTAGAAAAATGACTGTTTAAAAATCATCATTAGCCTGTATGTAAAACACAATTAGTATTCATTTTCAAGATCACGTTTGAATTGTTCCTTTTGAGTTGGAGTAATGAGAATGAGATTGCATACAAACTGAGACTAATTACCTAACAATGTCAAAAAGTTAGGTATATTAAATGGAACTTTCTCTGAAGAATGTGATTTTCATTAAGTATGGAAAATTAACAGATTATATATTTTAACTTCATTTTCCCCATGCATTACTAATGCAGTTGATAAGAAGGAGATGAACTTCAGGAGACAAATAGTACAGACTGAACTAAAAGTTGCTATGCTCACCATAAGCAAATGTTGCTGGTAAAATGTTCATATGTAGATAACATATAAAAAGTCAGAATGTAGGATACATACTGAACAGTGATTTGAAAATTAGCTTTTGTAAGGCTTTGGATCTCATTGGATATAATCTCATAAGGATTTTTATTATTTTATTGATCATTATAAATTATTGATATTATAGATACATCTATTTTTTGTCTTTGATACATATTAGGTTTATAATCTTATAGAAGTTAATCTAAACATTATTTTGTTTATGTACAAATGCAAAGAATCCCCAAACTGTAAGATTGATATGAAAATCGGTTGAAAGTATTTTCATATCATATCTTATAAAGGTGGTAGCACATTGATAATTTTACTTTCCTAGTTTTTCATTCTGGCTTCCTTTCCTGTTTCTTGGTAATTATGGAACACTGAGCTATAGAATTTAATATCTGATCATTGCACCCCAGAATTTTTCTTTCTATAACTGATGCTTCAAAATATGAAAAAGGTACTAACTTGTCCACAGTAAAAGTTGAGCCATCTAGTCAAGTCCATTTTGATTGGCTGCTGTTGTCATATAAGCTGATCCAAAATTTTTTGAGTGCATGTAACATTGCATTTTTGATATTTTTTTTTACAAAATCCTGGATAGAATGAGAGCAGAAAATGAAATCCAATACATGTGACTGGTTTTGCTATGTAAAATCATTTTCACATTATTAAGTATTTTTATTTTATTTGAAATTCTATCAGTATAATAAAAATGCTCTAGGGACTCTTTGTCTACACACTAATAGCCAATAATTCATTTATTCATGCAACGACCATCGTAGAGGCCTTACAATTCTCTTGGCATGATGCTAAGTATTGGGAATTAAATAAATAAAATTGTTACCTAAGAATCTAAGCACAGAACAAAGTCATCGAGTAAGCAATTGCTACCAAAAAGAAGTAAGGAATGAAATGACAGTATTTATCGGGGGCACACAAGCGATTAAGGGGATCAAATTTTTTTCAAGGCATAATGACTCTGTGGTAAACTAGGAAAGTGAGTAGGCATTTATTAGAGACGGTTACACAGGATGAAGAATGGGAGAGTGAAACTCTCAGGAGTAAACTGGATTACACTTTAAGGAATATATAGAAGGAGTAAGTGGAGGAAGTGGTGAGGGAATGCGAGCAATGGAATTTCATACCTGAGGAGGCTAGAGAGACAGGGAAATTTCAGATGTAAATAAAACTTGCACAGTTGTTGTTGACTAGGGACTTTACACTAGGCCTGAGGAAATATAGTATTCTTATGTGGATCACGTAAGTTTCTCTATATGGATATCTTAGAAGATAAAAAAGCTACGGTCCAAGAAATTTCTCCCAGAGAAATGTATGAAAACTTAAAAATATTTATTTTTACCAGCTCTTCTTCAACATTTAATCTAAGAAATTTTGAAAGAAAAGTTGCACAGCGAAGTTCACAATCTCTCCAAGGAGTCAAACTTTTAGAAAAACAGTAGCAGTTGCTCCCGTGATGGTGCCAGCTATCATCACAAGGGTGACACTTCCAAGCTACAGAAAAAAGCAGGTGATGTGCAAATGTTTGCAATCAGTGCATTCATAATTGAAACATAGGTGTTAAAACTGTAGAACATACTAATCCTATAAACTAAATGACAGAAATATATTCATCCAATTCAAATTGGTATCCTGCTAATTTCAATGATGCAAAAGTAGATTATAACATTCTCTTTCTAATACCACAATTGTTAATATTTCAGCATTTTCAGTACCTTCCAAATTTAAGAACATTATTGGTGAACATGTCATATATGCATGTAATGTTCACTCATACTTTATTTATATGCTTTTATATGGAAATGCACACACAGAAAGGTATTTTCTAAGTCTTAGAAAACTCATGATTTTATTCTAAATTACCTTGAACATTTGTTAATGACTGTTGACTCTTTGAATCTCCTGAAATCTGTGGACCTGTTTCCTGGTTGCAGGTGAGATTTCCTGAATTCCTCTCTGCTACTGAAGAACAAATTGCAAACATCATTTTGGTTCATCACATTTCAACGAAGATAAATTTGCTATCGCACAAAACACTACATTTGCTATGGGAATACTAACAATAACAATACATTATCAATGGTCTCTTCCAGACACAACAAAACAGGAGACAAATATAGACAAATTTAAAATATTATCAATCTGATAGGAAACTTAACATAGTAAGTTGTAGCACACATTATTGAGCAATTGCTTTTGACAAAGAAAAACCTGACATTTCTCAGAAGTAATCCTGATGTGATGTTAAAGATTATCAGCTAGGGAAAGCAAAGATAATCCAGATAGATGAGACAATATAAACAAGACCAAGGTAAGGACCTGGGTAGCAATTTCATATGGTTCTTTTTTTTTTTTTTTTGGTACCGGGGATCGAACTCAGGTCCTTGAGCTTAATGGTTCTTAAAAATCATCTACAGTACAGAGACCATAACTAAAATATAACTGTTCCTTAGGAACTAAAATTGATCATACCAATGAATGATCTTAAAGAGATTCCTTTCTCTGAATAGCAAACAAGCCAACCTCATTTCTGTCAGACTCACACTGTCTGGCTAAGATTACAAGAGACAAAAGAAGGCCCATGGAGATGAACAACAAAACCACTGTAATTAATTTCCATGAAGACAACGTAGCAGAACAACCTACTAGAAAGAGAAGAGTAAATTATCCAATACTATCTTCTATATGTATAATCAGATTTTTATTGTATCACAATCAAACTCCAAAGAAATGTGTTGGTCTTATATGGTTGAATAATTTTGCATGCCTAAGATTTCATTACATAAAACTTTTCTTGATTAATGATCTTATATTAATTTTAATATCAGATGCAAAATGAAATATTTTTCCTTTTAAGCTAAAATTATATGGAATGAGTTTAACATTTGAAAAATGCAGAAATTATAACAAAGAAATTAAAAATCTAATCACTATGGATCCAGTCAGAAACCATTCTACTATCATTTCATTTTATTATCTTCATGTCTATTTTACGTGTTTAAAATACATATTAATGTTTTCACAGATCATTAAATCCTTCAAAAATATTTTTAAATTGCCTACATAATATTCATGCTCATATATATACAATAATTTATTTGATTTTTCTGCTCTTTTAAGATATTAAAGGGACTTTCCTCTTTTTTTCTACGACAAGTAACTATTAAGTTTGAAGTTTCACAGGTAGACATTACTGTTCTTACACTTTTAGGGATTTTTTGCTATTAGCTTTGAATGTTTTTCTTCTCTTAATTATATTAGGTTTTCTGTGAATAATTTGCTAACACCATTTTTATTGGGAGTTTATATGTTACAATTATTTGTGATTTTGAGGAAGCCATCATGTACTCAACATATTCATCTTTGCCAGATCTACCTACATTTCTTCTTCCTTTGTTCGTTAAGAATTTTTTAAGTGTTTTAATGTCTTCCACTACATCAATATTCTGTATTACATGTTCTACTGTGCTTACATTTGAAAAGCCTGTCCTCATTTCCCCGGACATTTTTTTCTTGCTCCTGCTCACTCTAACTCTTTCCACTTCATTCCATGTCATTCTTTCAAACCAAAATTGGTTCAAGTCAGAACAAGAAAATATACAATAAGTAAGCAACCTCCTTTTCTCCCTTCATTGTATCTATCAAAGTATCTCTCCTCCATTAGAAACTGTTGGAAGAATAGTTTAAATTTTTTGTCTCCTTTCTCTACATCCCTTTCTTTCCTTCATCTTCTCCACTTTGGACTATTTTGCCAATTTTGAAGCTGATCTCAAGAATGTCACTAAGAATCCTGCTTAATCACTTATCATAATCTTGGTGGCATTATTGCTATTTGATATTGTTGATCTTTCCCTACTTGAAAATATTTGTTTTTTGGATTATTACTGTTTTACTTTCCAGATTCTTAGAATGGAAAGAAAAGAAAATTGTGGTCAGCTGATAGATATTTTTACCTATATTGTTTTAACTAACTATTCATCTTGTACAAATATTTAAGTAATTTCATTGGAGGTCACAATTAGTAATCTATGAATATTATTTCCTTTTTCATCACAACCCACAACATAAAATATTTTCTTCATAGTCAAGTGATATCAGTGTCCAATATTTTAAGAAAATGGGTCTGTCTGATTTTTAGGTTCTCTGAGACACATACTTTAAACATAGATGAAGAAAATATAAATTAAGGTTTTCAAATTTTAAATATCAATTAATCCATTCTTTAACAATCACAAGAACAGACCTTTTAAAAACAATTTCTTTCTATATAATGTGTATCCATCACTTTTTTCACAGAACAAATTCATGTGACCTGTGGCAACTGAATATTCATTCCCAACTAATAGTGCTGAGATTGGGAGGGGTGTTCACTCCCACATCATAAGGATAAATGTTCATGTAGTTGGATATTTACACTAGTGAAAGCCTACCCCAAAGATTTAAGTCAATATTTAAATATTAAAAAGGTTAATTGTACAAACTACACATCATTGTTTTATGTGGAACCACAACAGTTCAAACAATTGCTCCAAATTCATACAATCCTATGTAACCAATAAAAGATGAAAATGAAATTGTAGTCACAAAACACAAACATAAGGTAAAATGCTGAGCAAAAGTATACTTGATAATGACAGGGATAGCAATGAAACTTAAATAAAAATGAAATTACCATGGATTCACAGCAAATATGAAATAGTAATTTTCCTTTATTTCTCAAAATATCCATCATCATGATTCTGTTCTCTTCAAAAGAGTAAGGTTGGCATATAAAATAACTTTATTTACAAAACTTATTATTTCACTCAAAATGTCTTTATCCAGTATCTAGAGCTAAGGTCATGGTAGATATTGTGTAATTTTTTTCTGAAATCGAAATCCACACTCACAGAATAGTTTAAATATTGATTATGATTGCTAGTGAAAGTTTGGTCATCTGCAGCATCCAGTTAAAGACATGTTACAGACATTGTTTTAAAATATGGAGTAAAGTAAAATAAATGTGAAAAAAACCACAAACCTAGATGTTCCAAACAGATGTTCCCTTGAGGTTTGGCTAACTCAGGGACTCTCCTCGGCAGCTGGGATGGAGCTTGAATTTTCAGCTCAGAATAAGTCACTCCTTCCTCCCTCATGTCTGAAAAGTAGAAGTGTACTGGAAATAATACAATCTTCGTTATAAGTCATGGGCCATATAAATGCCGTCACTACTTAGATGGTGTATACAGATTGTTTGTAGGCAAGCCTAACAAAAGATCTAGAGTTTCTTGCAAATTAGCAAACATTGTTAGTGTACAAAAGTTTAGAAAAGGAGTTGGTATTGCATACCATTTAGGAGTAGAATGCAAGGGAAACATTTTCAAAAATTACAAACTTCTGGGACCTTTTGAATTATTTAATAGTCATTGCATGTCAAATAAGTGTTTTAAAAACCTGGCATGAGAAATTCTTCATTTCACGTGACCTACGCTCCTTGCAACCTCTTTGTCTCAGAGCATCTGTTTCCTTCTTTACAAAAGTTCCTCTCTGATTCTCTTCAATTCTGATCTGTTCTTACACATCTTTATGCTTTCAGAGACAATTTTCTCTTTTTGGCGTATATTGGTTCTCCTACATTGCTCCATGATCATTAGACAATTATGTAAAATATGACTTAAATCATACTACTGATTTTAAGAATATTGCATAGCTGTTTCACTTAGAATTTCTCACTGATTCCCATGAATAATCCTACCTTTTTCCATTTCTCTTCCAACCAGTCTTTTCTTTCTGTTTGTTTTGTGTTGCTGTCTCTTCACTATGGCCATTCAGTGCTGAGTTCACATCTGAATGATTCTCTTATTGCTAGTTACTTCTTCGAACCCTTTGTGCACTTTTGGATTCTAACAACTTGAGTTTTATACTAAATTGAATACTTTGCACATTAAATATGTTATATCACAGGAAGAAATCTTAAAATATTTCAAAGGAAGCTTCAAGTGTCTTTTACTCCTAAATACTCTATGACCCTGAATGCATTAATTAAAGTGCAAACCCAACAGTGAGTCTTGTGAACTTTCTCCCAGTAAAATTTTTGGTCTATTTTCTTCAAATATGTTTCCATATAGATATTACAAGTTCATTTATCTGTCATCTATGTTATCTTCATCTATCTGACACCATATCTCCTTATAAATAAACTTTTAATTCTTTTGATTCAACTCATTTTGATCCATTTTTTACTGAAATCTTCAAAAATACTAGTCCTTACACAAAGTAAATTAATACCTTGAAAAATATAAATTCCTTATTGTTAGAGGACAACACCAAGATCTTTGCAGAATGTGTATTTCCCAGACAAAGGTGCTCTTCACTGTCAGGATAAAAGTTCTGAGTTTAGGAATCCTTGGTGATCCTTGGTATAAAGTCTAAGACAAATTCAAAGAGAAAGAACAGACAGATAAGATAATATCTTTGTCAGCTGGTCCTACATGAGAAATTAATGGGCAAGAATAGAACGTAACAATAAGCGCTATCTGGGTAAACCACATAGGAAGTCCTGAATTTTGAAAACATCTTTAGGGTTGAGGCCTTTCATCATTCTGACCTTCACTTATTTTAAAATACCTAGTATATTTTCAGTAATGCCCAATATGTTTCACTCAAGTCTTAGATTTCAAGTTTCAGATTGAATGAAACATAGGTATTGTCTATCAAGTAAGTGGTTCACTTCTACCACCACTTTTTTTAAGTTCTCTGCAATGTATTATTAGATATCATGTTCTACTTTCAATAATAGCGAGAATGTTAAAAGTCAAGTTTGTCTTGTCACTTTTTAGTTTCTTTCTGTTCAAGAATAGTTAGTGCTAATTTATCTCTGTGGGGACTTTGCATGGTTTTTCTCAGTAAAACTTTAGCTTCTTGATTATTTTGTCATTTAAGTACTTTCCTAAAGCTCTAAGACACAATTTAACAATTAAGCAAATTACCAGTCACCTTCAGATATAGTACATATTTCTCAAAATGTAATTACTTTTGTATTACATGAATTTATGCCATTTTATTATTTATAATTGTAGAATTTACTTGTAGTTTTTCTTTTGATTGCTTAAAAAATTGAAAAGCTTCTGAAATAGAGTTTCCATTTGATCCAGCTATACCATTCCTGGTATGTTCCTCAAAAAATTAGTCAGCCTACTAGAGAGATACTAGTACTCATGTGTACTGTGGTATAATTCACAATAACGTAGCTGTGGAAACAGCCTACTTGTCCATCAAGTGATGAATGACTAAAGAAAATGTGGTTTATATGCATAACAGACTCTACCATACAGAAGAATGAAATCATGTCACTTGCCAGAAAATAGATGAAACTGGAGATCATCATGTTAAGTGAAATAAGCCAATTCAAAAACTCAAATATAACAATTTGTCTCATATGGGGAATCCAAAAAATGAATATCACAGCCCATAGGACAGTGGAAGGGGAAATAATAGACAAGAAGAAGGGAATAAGGCCTTGGGGAAAAGGAGAAGGGGATAAAAGGAGGAGAGAAGACCAAAGAATGTTACATGTAAGTGGGAATATGTCAAAACAAACCCACTACTCTGTATAACTAATATGTATTAATAAAAATAAAATGAAAAACAAAAATAGAAGCGCAATATAATCCAACCATCCTATTACCAGATTTCTGAAATCAGTATATCAAAGAGACATTTGCATTCCCATGTTCATTGCTGCATTCTTCACTGTAGCTAAGAAGTGGAAACAAACCCAGGGTCCACTATCTTGTGAATGAATAAAGAACATGTGACATACAACCCCTTGTGATACTATTCAATCATAAGAAACACAGAAATCTTATCATTTGTAATAGCATGCATATGCCAGGCATAGAAAGACAAGGACTATATGCTCTAAATGTGTGGAACTTAAACAACTTGACCTCGTACTAGTTAAGGAAGGATTATGGTTATGGCAGGCAGAGGAGTTTATGAGGTGGCAGAAGCACGAGACATGGTTGCAAATGAGTGTTTAGTTTCAGTTAAAGGACAGCAAAAAGTGTGCTATTGTACGGCGGGGTGACTATGGATAATAATAATGGTCTGTACATTTCAAAAAACTCTGAGAGAGGATTTTAAAAGTTTTTATTATACAGAAATGATAGCTGAACCAAATTTGGTGGTGCATTGCTGTAACCCAAGCACTCTGGGGGCTTAGACAGGAGGATCACAAAATTGAGCTCAGCCTGGACAATGTCACAATTTATCAAGGCCCTCCCTCTCTCGAAATAGGAGAGAGAGAGAGAGAGAGAGAGAGAGAGAGAGAGAGAGAGATATGAAGGAAAGGGGAGAGGAGGGAAAGCAGGCTAGGGATGTAGCTAAGTGCAAAGGCCCTGGATTTAATCCCCTATACAGTACAGGAAAAAAAAGAAGGTAACTGAAGAGATCCATTTCTTTAAGCCAATTTGAGCATTATATAATGTACGGATCTACTAAACCATTACTTGGTATGCCATTAATATGTATAATTTGTATATGTCATGTTTCAGTTAAAATAAATTATAATAAAAACAACAATAAAAAAGTTAAGAAAGCATATCAATGAAACAGTATTTCAGTCATTCCTCCATTTTATTTAATCAATAACTACACTTCTTGAGATTTCTTAGTTATTTGGGAAAAACCTGGAGAATAACATTTAGAATCATGTTTCAAAACTCATGTTTATAACTAGAACAGTGATTCAAAGGTTAAAAATACAAGGAAGATGAGCTCAGAATCTTTGAAAAAAATGTAAGGATGTTTAATATTGTGGGGCTTCACCAGAGTAGTATGCAAAGTGCCTTTATGATTTTTCTGAACTATCGAAGCTGCTGAATAATTGTGTTTGTGTGTATACACACACATGTATGCCTATATGAAGGCACCAAAGTAAAAAAAGAGGAAAAATTATTTCAATATCAAATAATGTGTCAAAATTATTTGAGAGAAGCAGAGAGAAAGGAAGAATTCCCTCCTTGGAAATGTAGCAGTTAGCCTTCCCATCAGCAATGGATGAAAATAACTATTTCCCACTAATCCCTACAGCATAATCTGTTGCCAAGCTTTTAAAATTTTGCCTGATAAATTAGAAATTTAATTTCTTTGTATTGTAGTGTACATTTCTTTTATGATGATTGCAATTGAGCATCTTTTCTTCATTTAAAGGTCTTTGGTTGGTTGACTGGTTGTTTTTCTGGTTTTGGTGGAGGGATTATTGTTTTCTTTGGATTTTGTTTGCAATATTTGGGGAACAAATATATGTATGCATGGATGTATTAAATTATTTATTTTATTCTCTTGTCCACCTCAGTCCAACCCAACCTGTCCATGCTTCTGATTCAATGATATAATTATATTTAAAATATTTTGAGGTCTTCTATGGATGATACTGGAGTTCACCACACTCATAAAAACCACACATAAATCTCTATGAGTTTCTCTACCTGGAGCATTTGCTGAGACACCTGAGAGACAATATCTGAAAGCTTCTCAGAACCTCTGCCTAAGAAAATCTGTGAAGCATACATTTATAGATCTGTAGTCTAACTCAATTGAGGCACCACTTTTTTCTCTGTGACTTACAGGTAATTTTATAGTTATACTCACAACTTCTTATTTAGTTCATACTTTACTGAGAGTACCCTAAGTGTGATCTTTACTCAAAATCTGTTTTTCACTTTTAGCTTTGTTTGACATTTGATGAGGTCAGATACCAAAACTAGCAAGCTTCAGATTCTTTCTCTTTAATAGTCCATCCGCCCCGTTATATGCCTTCTATGTCACTGCATAAATAGTAAGAAATCAGGCAGCATTTTCAACATTCTAACCAGAAATAACTTTACATAGCTTTATAATACATTAAGTATGTTTTCTGCTTCCCACAATACTACCAACAGTAGTGTTCATAAACTTTCTGGTTCTATTAGAATAACTTCCTCCACTTTCCAATAACAGCACTCACTAGAAGCCTTCAGCATTCCCAGTCTTTCTAGCTTCTTTTGCTGTCAAATTTAAAGCACTACAATTTTTTCCACTGACCATACCTGCCTATGGATAACAAAATATGTATTAGTTATCTATTGCTAAATGACACATTATTTTATTACTTAGCATCTTAAAAACAATAAGTAGTTATGATGTTGGATAGCATCTGAGAACTAGGAACCTTGACCAGCTTAGAAGGATGGAGCTGACTCAGTCTCTCATAAGACAGCCGTCAGAAGTCAGCTGGGCGATGTCATTTGAAAGCTCACTGAGTGGCTCTAGGAAACAGACTTCAGTTCTTACAGGCTGTCTGTAAGGGGCTTCAGTTCCTTTCCCTATGGTCTTTCCATGGGGATGCTCATGACTGTATAACTGGCTCCTCATAGATCACTAGATGTGGGAGGAGAAAAAAGAAAGAATACTATCTTTTTGACCTGGCATCGGAACTGAGACACTATCATTTCCACTGTATTGCTCCCAGTATGCAAATCACCCTGGTACAGCGTGGAAGAGAATTAGACATGCATGCCACTGGTGAGAATCCTGCAGATTTGTTTACAGACGTACTTGACTGACATTTTTACCTTTTAAAATCAACACAGACTGAAATAAACATCATGCATCATATTGACACTTTGTTTTCACTACACTTATTTGTATTTGAAGTTAAAAATACAAACTAATTCCAGCCAATATTGTTTTGCTAGTACATATATTTCTTGCCCATTTGCTCGCCCTCTCCTTTTCTACACTTAACACAAAATATGTCACTCAACTAGATCCTTCCACGCTCACTATTCTATTTCACAGGAGAGATAGATAGACAAAAAGACAGACATACAGAGAGAAGTAACATGTCTCTCCCCAGAAAATATAGCAGAGATCACATATTAGAGGAATAAAAGAAACTTGGTAGAAAGTCCTATGCATGAAAGAAGTCTGTCCAATGCAAAAGACTAAAAATATTTTTGGGATGAAAGAAGGAATTAGATAATAGTGGGAGAATGAATAGTAAAAATGAAACAGGTCAGATGAGTCTGAACTGAGGGTGACCAAAACGATGATGCCATGCCTTAAAAAGACACTAGGTGGCCAACATCCTCCACTCCAGTGAGAATCGTCCATCAAAATATCCTGAAATGATAAGAGAGCTGCAAAATAACATCTCAGTTATAACTGGGAAGTGATAGAAATTTTCTGTTCCCAGGCAGAGACAAATTTTTTGGCATTGCACGCTATCTGAGATTAGATAATATCCATACCCAATACTTACTGTTTTTTCACTACTCTCACAACTGCACTGAATTCTCTGAAAATAAAATGAGGCTCTGGACTCCTGATGGGATGATGATTTGAAAAATCCCATGATACATTCATATTTGGATTCAGCTAAATGAAAACAGTTGATAGCAGTTAGATCAATGACTAAATTCCGAGGGATCTATTTACAGCTAGGAGCGAAGAGTTAATGATTGCATATTGTACTCGGACATACAGAATAGCTGTTGTGGCTCTTACCACCAAAATGATAACTGTTTCAGGGAACACATTTGTTAATATTCTAGATCAAATATTCCACAATGTGTACTTCAAAGCATAATGACATAATGTCATACATATAAAAAACATACAGTGTTATTTCTCCATATAAAATAAATAAAAAGCTGGGCATGGTGGTGCATGCCTATAATCCCAGTCCCCTGGAGACTAAGGCAGGAGGATCATGCATTCAAAGCCAGCCTGGGCTACCTGGTTAGTTTCAGACCAGCTTGGTTTACATAGGAAGACCCTGTTACAAATAAATAAAATAAATATTTAACTAACTAAAAACATTTGAGATTCATACCATATGAAAATTATGCAAATAGGCCAGCTTCATCATTAGAGAGAAACTACGCAAAGTAGCACAACCAAAATTGGAGAAATTCCCTTATGGAAGGAAAATAGGGAGATGGTATAACTGGTACCCAAATCAATGTTGTACTTTATTTAAAATT